TTTTTTGTGCTGTAAAAAAAAAAAAAAAAAAAGTGACCGACAATTTTGAAGAAGAAAAAAAAAAAAAAAAAAAACAGTATTTTTGACATTTTGCTATTAAACATGTCCAGTAAAAAAATCAAATTACATCATAAATGTGTGCCAAAATTTATTCGGCTACATATCTTTGCTAAAAAAAAATCCCAATACGTGTAAATTAAATGGTTTACGTGAAAGTTTTAGAGTTTACAAATGGCGGTATAGTTACTGGAATTTTTTTTTTTTTTACTAGTAATGGCAGCAATGAGCGACTTATAGCAGGAGTGCGACGGGCATTCTGACACTGGGGGGGAGCTGCCTTGGTGTCACTGACATCCCCAGTGACACCAATACAGTGATCGAAAAAGAAAAAAAAAAAAAAAAGCACTAACTGTACTAATGGCACTGGGCAGGAAGGCGTTAACATGAGGGGTGATTAAAGGGTTAACCGTGTACTGTTTTACTTGCGTCTATGCTTCACTGTGATCACACTGCTTTGCATGGCTGTGCTTTGCACAGCCATGCAAAGCAGTTTGTAGGAGCTGCATTTCATAAAGTTCTACTCCTGTCTGAGATGTTCAGCAATCACCGGCCGGGACCCAGTGATTGACAGCTGCGGCCGCACATGGCGGCGTGGGTAGGGCGCACGCCCCCTACCTGGAAATGCAAAATCATGTATATATACACGTGATTTTGCGCACCCGTGCCGCCCTGTAGCAGTATATCTGGGGAAGTGCTTAAACGTACATTGCATGCATCTATTGACATTGATGCCAAGGCTTATTTTCCTCTTGCCCAGGGGTGGACTGACAACTCATGGGGTCCCCAGGCAATAGGGGATCATGGGGCCCCTGTGTCCTTGCCCAAACTCAAAAAAGCCTATGAAAAAGGTACCAGGGGCATCTCACGGGGCCCCCTACTGACCCCGGGCCCTCGGGCAGTGCCCGAGTTTCCAAATGGTCAGTCTGCCCCTGCTCTTGCCTTCCCTGTCCACACATTCAGTGAACACAGACCACAAATCCAGTGCACCAATATGAAGGACAAGAGTTGGGTTTGTTGTATAATACATTGTATTGGTGACATAACAGGGTTAGAGGCTCTGCTTCTCCCCCCACTCATCCTTCTGTGCACAAAGCTTTGACATCTACTTTACACCTCTCCATTGTAACCTGAACCTTCAGTAAACATTGCCCCAGACACAGCACTGGGAGAGCATTTAAATGAAATTCACACAGCCCATGCAGACTGAGGTAATCAGCCCACTAGAAACATATGCAGCATGGCTTGTGCTAACCTTTGTCTGGATCCTAAGGGAACTGGCAGCTTATCATCACACTATCAATCTTGATAGGCTTATATTTAGCAAGGCTATTTATCTACAACTGCAACAAACACAGGATGCAATCCAAATATACATATCAAAAAGTAAGCAGGACAGGCAAATAGTTACAATGCAAAAAAATAAAAACATATACAAACTGCAAGTTAACCCCTTTCTGTAACTTATACAAGCAAGACAATTTCAATGAAAAATGCATTATGCCTAACCACAGGACACAAGGGCAATAACAAAAGCTGGCTATACATGGTTAGATTTCTTTTCGAACGTTCGTAGAAAAATCTCACTCTTGCCATCTATTCGCAATCCCTTAAAATTTCATCCAGACCTGCTATTTGAATGGAATCCCAGTCATATTAACTCAGTTTCATTACACTACGTGCAATTTTTCTCGAACAAAAGCCACACTCACAGTTAATATTTAGGTTTCTATCCTGCTCCTCTGAATTTTCTGGTTACTGTGGTCAAAAACAAACATCAGTTTGACCCACTAACCATTACAAAGTCAAAACGAAAGTTCAGAAAATGTTAATTTTTTTAAAACAAAATTCTACTGGTGTATGGCCAGTTTAAGGTTATGTTCCCCATCCTCAGCTAGATTTGTGAAGAAATTGATTTCAGGAAAAGCGTAGTGTTGTAAAGGAAAAAACATCAGATGACACCAAGGACAATAGACATGGGAGGTTACATGAAATAATATTTCTAATTAGCTAAAATTAAGTGGCTCAGCAGCAAAGTCTCTGCTAACGTTGCATGGAAATTAACTAAAATTCAATGGCTCAGGCTTCCATAGAAATTCTTTGAAATGGTTAACGTTCCATGCAATTTGCTGAAATTCAGTGCCAACAGCAAAGTGGAAATTATTTTAAATTAGTTTTGCATGAAACAGCATCACATGTGATCAGCTAAAATTTAGAAAGTGTTTATGAAAATTATTTAAAATACCATTAACATTGCATAAAACAGTTTCGCTTATTAGCTGAATTTGATTGGCTCAGCAGTCCCTGGAAATGATTTAAATTGTTGCATAAGGCAGCGTGCCATGTAAACACTATGAGCAATGTATTATTCTTTGTATACAGCTGTATGATTTGAGATTTAGGGGCTTTACAATAAATGCAGTTGCAAAACTTGAGCAGTAACTGTAATGCTACTCACCCCGGTTCGAAACCCGATCCAGTGTTTCCTGTAGCCGAGTCACATATGACAGTGATTAAACCCCCATATGCATATCCATCCTTGCAGGAAATATTTTGGGCCCATAGAGGACAGTTGTCCACTTTCTTATAGTCCACAATTCAGCTAATCCTCCCAATCTGAACGCAGCAGCTGTTATTCCCACTCTTTTGTTAGACAAAACCCAAGCTGAGCATTACATGCCTTGCAGAGAGGGAGGAAAAAAAAAAAAAAACCAGGAGAGAAGAATAGGCCTTATGTCTGGGTTGGACATGAGAGCAAGGGGACCCTTGGGGGTCTCAATAGGAAATGCATTTCATTGGATGAGGGGTATTATTAGACTGTGAAATCCCTCCCAGTCCCCTGTGTTTTGCCATTCTTTGAAAACCAATCATAGGCTTTCTAGAGTTTATAAAGAGAACTGCCAGGGAACACAGCTCCCCCACAAAAGAATTAACATGTTAAGCTCTGCTTTTAATGAAGAATACCCATTTCCTGCTCAATTAGTTTGCAGGAGAGGTGCGAAGGCTAAAAAGGGTCTCAGCCCAAATAATGAAGGTGCCGTTTCATAGCATACATATGATCTATTTTTGTATAGCTTCTGAATTAAAATTCAAATAAACTTTGTTGGTGGTTAGAAAGTTTTTTTCCCATGAATCTAGAGAATATTGTATAGGCTTAAGGTGGTCTGAATTTGCCTTCAAGCAATGCAAATTTCAGAAACTTAGTACAGCACAAATTTACTGTGATCTAGGATTGGATCTGCTAATTCCTTTTAATATATAGTATTTAATAAATCACATCATTATTTGAAAGGTAATTACAGATTAAGGATTGCAAATGCCTCAAATTAGTAATGTGTGATTTGGAGTTACACCTTTTAATGAATTTCTTCATTTAGCCAACAATTATCAGTTGCATTCAACTATCAGCTAACAATCATCAGTTGCATGCAACTGGACTTGTTCTGTAAAATTTCACGCAGGGGGTCCATTAGTTCGTTTTTGACCCATGATTGCATGAATCAAAAACAGACTGCAATCTCTTCCTATGGGTGACCAAATGTAATCTTATGTGCATCTGCCTATGTCAACCAACATCCAGGTGTGTTCAGATTCATTGGAACGAGCAAAAATGATTATGTCCAGGTCCCCTTTTAATGAGTTGGGTGGATATAAGCAACATGTGTCCACTTACATCTGTCCACCTATAGGGATTATACAAGCCTGTTTTTTCCTAAAACCACAAGATGTAGGAAAAATTGTAACGGATGTTACATAGGTGACATCAGTTTCTGTTCTGGTCTGACTTATCAGTCTAGGATCCCCTGCGGAGATGGAACAAATTGTGAAAGGGGCCTTAAAAAGGATAAGTTCATTTTTAAGAAAAATAAAAATGTAAAAGGAAAAAAAGTGTATTTTTAATTTTTTCCTGGAGCCTGCAGAGCATTGCACCCCTGATCAGCAGATCGCAGGTGCAATGTCACGCTCCTGAAGAATTTCAGCACAGTTGTCTGCCTATACGTCCCATATGGGCAGAGTTACTGCAGTGCAGGAAGATCGATGAACTACGAGAGTGTTCACAAGTGCACATTGAGAACTACAAGCCATCTGCTGAGGTGGCAGACAGTAGTTGTAGTTCATTGGTTCACAGATTGCTGTGAATGAAGGACACGACCCTGTGGGCATAGCCCTGCATGGCCACACTCTTTTCAAAGGGGGGGGGGGGGTTAGTTTCCCCTTCTGCTGTCACAGCAGGGAATCAGAGGGGCTCAGGCAGTTACTGTTTGGTAACATGCTACACCCTAAATACAGGTGTAAAATGTTACCAAAAGTGAATTTTGTCTTTTAAACAGTCTAAACTTAACAAAAAAATAAAAAAAAGTCCAGTTAAATGAAACCAACTACTACCAGCTACACTACTTACCAAAAGTATTGGGACACCTGCCTTTACACGCACATGAACTTTAATGGCACCCCAGTCTTAGTCTGTAGGGTTCAGTATTGAGTTGGCCCACCCTTTGCAACTATAACAGCTTCTACTCTTCTGGGAAGGCTGTCCACAAGGTTTAGGAGTGCGTCTATGGGAATTTTTTTACCATTCTTCCAGAAGCGCGTTTGTGAGGTCAGGCACTGATGTTGGATGAGAAGGCCTGGCTCACAGTCTTTGCTCTAATCCATCCCAAAGGTGTTCTATTGGGTTGAGGTCAGGACTCTGTGCAGGCCAATCAAGTTCCTTCACCCCAAACTCGGTCATCCATGTTTTTATGGACCTTGCTTTGTGAACTGGTGCGCAGTCATGTTGGAACAAGAAGGGGTCACCCCCAAACTGTTCCCACAAAGTTGGGAGCATGAAATTGTCCAAAATGTCTTGGTATGCTGATGCCTTAAGAGTTCCCTTCACTGGAACTAAGGGGCCAAGCCCAAACTATGAAAAACAACCCCACACCATAATCCCCCCCTCCACCAAACTTTACACTTGGCACAATGCAGTCAGGCAAGTACCTGGCAACCACCAAACCCAGACATGTCTATCATATTGCCAGACAGAGAAGCGTGATTCATCACTCCAGAGAACACACCTCCACTGCTCTAGAGTCCAGTGGCGGTGTGCTTTACACCACTGCATCCGACGTTTTGCATTGGACTTGGTGACGTAAGGCTCAGATGCAGCTGCTTGGCCATGAAACCTCATTCCACGAAGCTCACTGCGCACTGTTGTGCTACTCTGAAGGCCTCATGAAGTTTGGAGGTTTTCAGCTATTAACTCTGCAGACAGTTGCTGACTTCTGTGCACTGTGTACTTCAGCATGCACTGACCACGCTCTGTCATTTTACGTGGCCTACCACTTCGTGGCTGAGTTGCTGTGTCCCAGTTGCTTGCACTTTGTTATAATACCACTAACAGTTGACCGTGGAATATTTAGTAGCAAGGAAATTTCACAGATGGACTTATTGCACAGGTGGCAACCTATCACGGTACCATGCTTGAATTCACTGAGCTCCTGAGAGTGATCCATTCTTTCACAAATGTTTGTAGAAGCAGTCTGCATGCCTAGGTGCTTGATTTTATACACCTGTGGCCGTGGAGGTGATTGGAAAACCTGAATCCAAAGATTTGGAGGGCTGGCCCAATACTTTTCGCAATATAGTGTATATCATGAGTCTTCACAGAAAATTACTAGGCATGTAATGGTTTATAAGAGATGCAGGTGAAAAAAAAACCCAAAACAAAACATTCTGATAAATGGATAAGCAATCTTTCAAAATCTTGCCAACCTTAAAGTGTTACTAAACCCAGTACCTGCATTCACTACATCTGGTCTCCTACAGAATACAGAACATGGAAATGCAATTATTTTAGTAAATATAAACTGTTAAATACCTTTTCTCACCAGCAGTATATAGCAGTGACCTGTGACTTCTATCAGTGTCCAGCATATAACTGGTTAAAGCTTGTAGGAGGGGTTTTCATTCTCCCGATTGTCCTATGAGGCTGCAGGACCCCTGACCCTCTGTCTGAACAGTGCTAGTTGGACCTGTGCTGATCACATGCACTCTCCGAAGGAAAAAAAAAAATCTATAGCAATACACACCACATCGAGCATGTGCAGTTTGCCCCCATGACTCCGTGCTATCAGCAGATGGATTGGGGACTGTGGAAGAAGGAGAGGATCCTTTTATGCAAATGTGAAGGATTAACCCCTTAGGATCCACAGTGAGTATAACAAGCATGCTTTACTGCGTATACAGACTAATTTTACGGTTTGTTTAGTAACACTTTCATTTCAAAACTGCATGAATATTTGACCTTCTGAATACAATTCCAATTTTAGAATTCAGTTTGCTCTTGTTCCCTTTTGATGTGACAAATTGAGGATCATTTAAAGCTGAACTTTAGGCATGGCAATTTTTACATATTAAACATTGGTCCAGCTTGGTTCAATGTAAGTATGTATGTTCCATACCTCTGGAATCTCCATGGAAGCTGGAAGTCACTGTAGTAGAAACAACTATTTCAGTGATCTCCACTAACTTTCAGGTTCTGTGCGGAACACAGGAGGTGGCTCACTTGGCATAGGCACCATTCCAGGAAAACTTTGCATTTTCTCAGTGAATTCAAAGCATTCTCTTATTGGGGGAGGTGGAGAGGCTGGCTGGTGACATCACAATCTTCACCTTGCCCAATTAGAGAACATGCTGCATTCATTGAGAAAATGCAAAGAATGGTGCTCATGCCAGTAAGCAGCAAGGCAGCCGCATAGGACCTCGAAGCTAGTGGCAATCACTGTAGTATTGATGCCTACTAGAGGCCTTTCCAGCTTCCATGGGGATACCCCAGGTATGGCACACACACGCTTACATTTCTCCAAGCTGGACCAATGTAACTATGTAAAAATTGCCATACCTACACTTCCGCTTTAAGATAATTACACATTTTACTGAATGAGCATGAAATGATATGACAATACAATGAAAGCCGATATTTCTCCCAGCATGCAGGATATTTTTGAGCTTTTAGTTATGCTTGTTAGAATGCAGAAGTAAATTAAGTAAGATTGAGGCAGAACTCACAGCCTTGGCACTTTTTATGAGTTGGAAGAAAGATTGCCAAATACTGTAGTCAATATGTAATGTATACTCTTCTTTTTTGATCTGGCTAGTGAATGGGGGCGCACTTAGGCACTGGCTTATGTTGAGAGAAAGCTGTGCACAGTGGCTGAGTGATGTCTTTTCTGATACACCTGCATAGTTTCAGAGTGAACAGCATATCTGTAAGGGTGACAAAACATGGTAAGAAGCATTTTTCCCACTGATTCACAATGAAAATACACATTCTTTCCACTGACTACCATTGTAAAGGGTGTGTTTGTGTTACTGATCACAAGTTTAACCCAGCTACTATAGTGGAAGTTGGTAAACTTTTCTCTAAAGCCCACCTAACCACCTATCCCCTGGACCCTGCTCCCTCACAAATACTACGGTCACTCTCTGGCTCTATCCTTTAACTCATATCTTCAATCTCTCCTTTTCTACTGGCATCTTCCCCAACCCTCTAAAACATGTGCTAGTCACCCCCATACTTAAAAAAAAGCCCCCCACCACTCATCCCCCACAGCTATTACCTTTTGTATCACTCAACCCTCCCTCTAAATTGTAAGCTCTAACGAGCAGGGCCCTCTGTTTCCTCTTGTTTTGTATTGTAACCTCTTTCATTTGTAAAGAGCTACCAAATTGTATTATTGTAACTGTCTACTTTCATTTGTTTTTTTTCAAAGAGCTGCAAAATGCAAACAGTGGGTGCTGTCTAATCAGCACCACTCTGCCTGACACTATAACATAAAAATAGTGCCTGTACAATATAAAAAATAGTCCACTAAAAGTCTTGTTCATATGAAGTATCCAGGTCAGATGTGAATTCAGGATTGGTGATCCGTGTGGAACTAAAACGCACTAAGGAAGACACATAAACGCAGAAAAGCTCATTCTCAATCCAGAGGGAAGTAAAGCAGGAATGGTGGGTCCCTTACCACAAAAGTAAATCTGGCCAGTAAACTGAGCAATTTTTTTTCAACTTTCAAATAGCCTGAAGCAGCCAAAATGCAAACAGTGGGTGCCTGCTCTATCAGCACCACTCTGCCTGACAAGGAAATGCTGACACTGTTTGCTGGCAAGGTAAATAATATGCCCTCCGCTTTCCATTTGCAGCTAGATTTACCTTCATTCTTCTTGGAAGACTCATGCTATCAGGATTAGCTCATGCTGTGACACTGTTTGCTGGCAAGGTAAATAATATGCCCTCCGCTTTCCATTTGCAGCTAGATTTACCTTCTTCTTGGAAGACATGTATCTATGGGAATGTGTGCCCATTCAGCAAAATAAATAGACTAGGGTATGGTTCCATACAAACGTAACGCGTAAGGAGGAGCCTGGACGTCGAAGACGCTACGCCACCGGAGCCACGTGGAGGCCCGGCGGCCACTATTCGAGCATTGCTTGGGTTCATCCCATAGGGATGTAGTTGAAGTCAGCGCTCTGTGCAGTCCACTTGAGTACCTCCAAACAGGGGCGGACTGACCATTTGGAAACTCGGGCACTGCCCGAAGGCCCGGGGTCAGTAGGGGGCCCCATGAGATGCACCTGGTACCTTTAACATAGGCTTTTTTTAGTTTGGGCAAGGACACAGGGGCTCCATGATCCCCTATTGCCTGGGGCCCCATGAGTTGTCAGTCCGCCCCTGCCTCCAAATCATTGTCATCAAACCATGTCTTTAAAGACCTAGCTTTATGCACAGGGGCACAGTCAAGTGGAAACAGAAAAGTTCCATCTCCAAAATCATGTCACAAGGTTCGAAGCCCACAAATGTATGTAAAGTATTTGTATTTTGTAGCATTAACAATATTTCATTGGAAACACCTGAAAGCTCAATACATTTGGATGGGTGTCCACGTACTTTTGGCCTTACAGTATATGTGATGGTTAGGAGTCCACAAACATATGGCCGTATCTAAAGCCAATTTGTTTTTTTAAGTTTAGAAGTAGGAATTGGTAAAACCCTGTCAAGTTTTCATTCTACTGGGAAGAATTTCCTACATGTCCTCTCTTGAAGACACAAGGAATGGGAAAAAAATGTCTCCAAAGTAAAGGATATTCCTTCTTAGAACATTGCCACTGGAACAAGTGCCTCCATTGGAAGATTTTTCCTATATGCATGTTCCAGTAATAACTCTAAATATTGGTTTTACCATTAACTTTTGGCAGCCATGGACACCTGAACAGAGAGTGATGAATCTTCCCAGTGGGAAGACAGTTATAAAATCCTAGCAGAGGTTCTAACCCCTATCAAAAACAAAAAAAGAGATACTCTAAGATATCTACAATATAGATGTGAGACAGCAGTCGGAATATTAGATGCTTGTGGCACAAACATGCAAATGTATTTTAGCCAAAAACGTGCTTTCTTATACTCTTTGCAGACACTCTAATGCTGCTTATGTTTGTACAAATTGTTTCATCTTCACGGCATCAACAATTACTCACTGTTCTGCGTTTGCACTGTAAATGGTACTCAATATATTATATGAAGCTTTCCGCAGTAAAGAATCAAAGCAACGATGGTGCAGTAATACTTAGGTCTTAAATGTCCCTCATTTCGAGGGACATTCCCTCTTTTGAGACGAAATCCCTCTGTCTCTTGTGCAAGCTCAGATGTCAATCTTTTCTGTCTGATGTGTACATCTCTATAAAAAAAAAAAAATGTACTATTTTACTATCAAAAGTATTATGCTGCACTAAACTTTTTATCCAGCCTCTACATTACTGCATTTGCCATTTTTAAAATCCAAAATCTAAATGTAAAAATAGGTGAAAAAACACTTGTGTGGTTTAGCCGATCATTTTCTACAAATCTTTGCGGTCCATGTAACCAGGGCCATGACAGGGACATGTCCTTTGCTTACATACTGTGTGCTAAAAGTGTCCATTTTTTATCATTTCAGAACATTGGGAGGTATGGTAATACAATCCAAAATTCTGATCTTTATCTTCTAGGCGGTTTCATTGTAGGTGACCTGTATTCTGAACACAAGATATATTCGTGTCTCCTATTTCATAAGTACAAGTCAGTTCACGCATACATTTTATGTACCTTAGTTACAAGTAGAATCAGCAATCTGCCCAGTCATACTAGTAGTAACTAGGATGAAATATTTTTAACATTCCAGAACTATTACATGATTTCTAGTTGGCATGATGGGATATGTAGTTCCACAATAGTCATTGACTGAATGTGTACTAAAGTGATCATCAAAGCAGTACAATGAACAGCTACAATAAGCGACAGTCAATTCTCACTTCACAAGTCACAGACTTTCCAGTTAGTAATCATTTTGGATTGGTTTTTAGGGGTAAAACTTCATCATGTTCTTTATTGCCTGCCTGAAAACCAGACTTGGAAAGAGGATGATTGCCTGGAATAACTGAACTGATCTAGATTTTAGTTTGAGAAGATGAAACATAATCAGACTGGTTGCTATGCACAACAACAGCTCTGCCTGTCCTATGTACA